GTGTCAGAAGTGTGAAATGCAGGACCTCTAGACTGAAAAACTCTTTCTTTCCCTCTGCCATCAGACTCCTAAACAGCTGGAAGGAGTTTATTACCAGGAAATATGTCATGTACTGACGACCTGTACTGTTTACATTCTCAGTTTTCACATGCGTAATTGTACATTGACTGTTGACTGCTCCCATGCAGCATAATTCTCTTATTATATTCGTATATATTTTTATTATATTGCTGCATTTGCTGCTTAAAGTGCCTTAAATTTTGTGATACCCATTCATCTACTTTATATTTGATTTGTATTGTGTGGCATTCATGTGGATGGCAAAGTAAGAATTTCATTGTACAGGGAAACATATTTCCGTACTTTGCATATGACAAATAAACACTTTGACCTTTGGACAAGATGTGAAGACTTATTAGACTGGCTTAATTCATATTAATGTTGAATGATTTAGCAGCTGTAACTGTAGTACTTTTGGCTTCTCACCCAAAATCTTTGATTTGTAGTCAGTTAGTAGCAAATGCTGAAAAGTTAAACCCAATGACCTCAGTAAAAGATTCTTTTTATAAGTGGATTTGATGAAATCCTATCACACTAAAACCCAATGCAAATGAAAGTAGACACACAACTATCTTTGTATTTTTATAAAACAATGAAGACCCTTTCCTCTTTCCTGCAGGTTTGCAGGATTTCTTCTGGGAATCACCAGCACATATGGGACTATTCCTGCAATCGTGGCACCGATTGCTACAGGCTACTTTACAAAAGATGTGAGTGTCTAAAACTGAAACCCCCGGAGGAGCTGGAGCTGGAGGAAGTGTCTGGAGAGAGGGAAGTCTGGGCATCTTTGCTTAGACTGCTGCCCCCGCGACTCGGTCCCAGATAAGCGGAGGAAAATAGATGGATGGATGGATGGAATGAAGACCCTTTCTTCTTTCCTGCAGGTTTGCAGGATTTCTTCTGGGAATCACCAACACATATGGGACTATTCCTGGAATCGTGGCACCGATTGCTACAGGCTACTTTACAAAAGATGTGAGTGTCTAAAAACTGAAATGATTGGTCTAGTCAAACAAATCGGTCATCAATACATCTGCTGACCTGGACGTGGAGAGAGGCTGAGCAATAAGGGCTCACACAGATTTTTCTAGTCTGATTGTTTTAGTGACTTTTTTGGAGCTGGAGAAAAAACTGATTTCACTAGTTCTGTGTAGAAACTGTTCTTGTCAAAGTGGGGAAAAACACCATCGCATATGTCAAACTTTGTTTTAAATTCCATAGTGGTATAAGGCTTTTAAGATTGCTCATATTTTATTAACCATGATTACCTAAAGAAGAATAAAAACTCACCCTCACCTCCTTTCTACCCAGTGTTTTCATTACATTAATAGAGATGTACTGTCCAGACAAAGTCATTTAAATCATACATGCCTGATGCTGCTGCTTCTTCTTCTGTGGTTTTCAGCACACTCTGGCCGGTTGGAGGAAGGTGTTCTGGGTCGCAGCTGGGATCAACGTCGGTGGGGCTCTCATCTACACCATATTTGGCACCGGGAAGATTCAACCTTGGGCCATCACCGAGGAGGAGAGAGCAGAAGCAGAGGAAAAGAGGAAGAGGTTCATCTTAGCAACACACAGCCAAGTTCATAAAAAGAAACGGTGGCAGGTGTAGCCTGTATCAGTAGATCAGGATAGTTTGATCAAGGATAATTTAAAAGCGCTGGTTTTTACAGTAAATTTGCACTTGTCATTCTGGTCTTGCACATTGATTGTTGACTACTGCACATGCTTAATGTTTATACCCAGATCATCGTTTGCTGTCATCTGCTAGATGACACTCACTTTACAAATCAGGAAACTGATGGCTTTTACTGTTGTTCTGTTGCATAATTCTAATCATTAGAATTAATTTACCTTATAACCAGTTATATTTGTACTGTATAATATACTGACTATACAGTTAGATCAAGTAAAACATATGTACTGTATGTTTGTGTGTAAAGATTGTTGAGTTAACTTGGATTTTTGTAATCTCAAAACCAACTATACTCAGGGGACACAGCGCAGGAGGCAAAAACCTCCATTCAAATACATCATATTCCTCTGTTACTGGACCAGTTGTTTTGAGGGGATGTCTCTGTTGCTGCTGCCCTAAGGCATCAGAGAAGTTGCACTGTGCATCATGACTTTATGCCATTGATGCAAGTTCTTGTGTCCCATATACCAAAGTCATCAGGAGCTCAACAGGGCCATATCCAGGATGTTAATCCAGGACTATAGGACTGTCTCTGAACATTCATCACAGAAAAAGATGTATGTGTTTATGGCTTTTTTTGTTGGACAGAATTATTGGAGCTTGAAATAAATGTCACTTACTGTATTTGTTTATAGATACTTAAGAGGGAATGTTCACAACTGCTTCCAGGGTAGAAACTGGATTTCAGGTTGATTAATTGTACACAGTTCCTCTCTACCTCCACTAGGTGGCACAAGAAAATCATTAGCAGTGCTCTCTGGGCTTTCTACATGGAAAAGGTAAAAGAACAATAATTGAGAAATAAACATTTTAAAAAACTATTTTGTTATACCTTGCATGTCAAGCCTAACACGGTTGGTGTTAGTGTATAATGCTCTGTGATGATCATATGGGTAGGCGGGCAATGATTATTTCATTATCAATCAAACAGATATTTTCTCAGTTAATGAACTGGCTGTTTTGTCTATCAAGTGTCCAAAATAGAGAAAAATCACTTTCATCTAGAGCCTGAGGTGACATCTTCAGCCGTCTTCTTTTGTCTGACCAACAGTCCAAAATCAAATTAAATCAGTTTACAATGGCATATGCCAAACAAAATCATTAATTCCTCACATTTTCAATTAAAAATAACTGAACTTAAAAAGGGATTAAGTGAGTGTACCACACTGTGAAATATGCCACTAGGAATAATAACAATAATAGTAAGGTAATAAGATCTCGATCTATCTTTGCAAAGGGTCCTGACATGACTTTTGTTGTGATTTGGCGCTATACAAATACAAATGGGCTATGTATGTATTATCAGTAAAAATTTACTTTAAAGTATTCGTTATGCAGTACATTGGTCCCTGTCAGTATTTTATTTTATAGTCTAAACAAAGATTTGCCCAAAAAACGACCACTTCATCTGAAATCACCTTAACTGTATATTAAGCACTGTTCAGTGTGTGCTGGGTGACTCAGAGGGTCTGTTGATGTGTCCGGTGTTTCCAGGATAAAGGTGGAGCTTGCATCAGACCGGATGTGCATATGGTGACGTCAGTTTGGTGTTACGGGATTTATTATCCCCCAATCAGTTACACGTTGTTTTGTCCTACTCTTTGTTGTTACTCCACCCAAAAGGCAAATTTTTCCCCGCCAAGTGAGCCATCATAAACAGTTAAATTCATTTGGTCTAATATTTATTTATATTTGTTGCTTTATTTGGAGTATTTACGGTCAAAAGAAACGTCCCAAGAGTTTAAATAAATTTCTGTGGCTAACTGTGCTGTAATTTACTAACAGTTACGTACCGGATATTTGTCCGTTCATCACTGTAAAACTAAATCGTAACCTCAATGTGTTTTCGGGCGTTTACTTAACCACATTTAACAGCATTTAGCTAGGTCTTTTTAGCATTGTGTAAGTCCCCCTCATACCTAGATGAATTTTGGAGGGATGCACCAGTGGTGGCGGAAGTACTCATAATTTACACCTAGACAAAAATCCTGCATTCAAAATTTTACTTTGGAACAAGCATATATGTAAACGTTAAAATATATTTAAAGTACTAATAGGTTAAAAGTACGATGCTGAATGACCAGTTTCAGGTTTGGCTGCTACTGGACTTTAATTGTGAAAACATTCATAATGTTGCAGCTGGTAATGGTTTGGCAGATATCATTTAGACAAGCTTGTCAATCTGTCCCCATGGTTCAATAAAATCTTATTTTGTCTTAATACAGCATGCTGATAAAATTTGCATTAGTACTCCTAATCTGCAAAGTAACTAATAATAAGGATAATCACCTTTATTGGCCAAGTATGTTATACACAAAGAATTTGTTTAGGGTATAGAAGCGATGGCAGCTATCAGCGGCGCCAGCTCAACCGATCTCTCCAACCATCAGTGGGGTCAGCGCCTAGCCCAAGGACACTTCGACACATGGAATGCCGGCACCGAGGTTCGAACCTTCAGGATGGGAGACGACTGCTCTACCCACCGCACCGTCGCCTCCCCGTAACGTAATAAAACAAATGTAATGAAGTGGCGATATTTCATAACCCATTAAAACAATTGTTAACCAAACCTAAAAAAAAATTGATTTAAACTAATGTCTTACTACTAGTAGATGTATTTCTTTGTGTGTGTGTGTGTGTGTGTGTGTGTGTGTGTGTTTCATTGAAATATCACAATTCACATACGATTATGCCAAGCAGTCAAGCAAGACGTTTGCTGGAAATCATTTCAAAATAATCCTGACTGCGTGGCATTTCTGAGCCAAGATTATTGATCCTTCAGGTTCATACATACCTTCTCTGCTTCAGGGATTTTATCAGTTTTCTCAGGCATTTTAATGTGTGTTTACTAATGTTTATTTATTTATCTGGTTATTCCAGAAACCTGATCTTCCCCTTGAGCTTTGAACGATCTTACCTCTTGGGTTAAACCCAGCCATATAGGTGAAATAAATGTCCTGCATCCCCCCAGAGTAAAAGCCAGATATTTTAATCAAGTATCCCCCCCGAGCCTTGAGGCAGCCTTGAGGCTGTGATATGAATATGATGAACACATCTCCTTCTTAACACCTATAGTGTGGAACACATGAAGACAATAGATTGGGCACCAAAATAGAATACTTTGTTTGCATGTGTGAACTGCAGTGATTCCAAGAGTGGAGGGTGGAGGTATGTAGTGCAGACCAACAGGAGATGTGGGACTGTTGTTTTGTAAATGTGCTTTATTTGCATTAATTGTTCCCCCCTGAATCAGGTTGTATTTGCATACAGTGTACAGATTGAGTTGCCTTTCATTTTGCCTGCATGCACATGAATGCCTGCACTATGGAACTGTCTCAGTGTTGGCATTGATCAGTCAGAGCCTTTTTTCCTGCACCCAGACAGACAACAAGTCCTGTTTCTTAAATCTGGCCATTGGACATGCATGAGGACTAAATAACTGTTGCCACTACAAACCAAGGTTTAACCTGGAACAGAATAAATATGTCCTTTTACTGTATGTGGTAAAGTATTTTAAATCTAGCTATTAGTCTGTCTCATCACACTATGTGGCCTAAAGTCTGTGGCTTATTTCATAATTTGGCCCGGGGCCTTAGTTCCAGTTCAGTAAAATCTTAATCTACAGCATACAATTACTGTATAACAGAGTTTAGTCATTCCACAAAATTTTGGGGTGTCTTATGACTCGTTATCAAATAAAGTAATATATATGACTGATTCCTTGGCAAGTGTTTTAGAGTAGTTTCACTGGAGTGATTTCCCTCTTCACTCTATTTAGATGCTGAATAGTTGAACGTATCAAGAAATCCCATCACACTAAACACCATAAGACTGTTTACATAAACTATTATTTAGATTAAGTAGTGTTGATATATGTTGTAACAGTGGTTTCCAACCCAAAACTAAGTAATAACTGCTGCAAACTTCGCCACTAGTTGCATGTCTACTGGTTGCATGTCTACTGTTTGCAATGATTTTAATCAAAGTGTGATTTTTGCTTTGTTTTTTCTTTGGACATATTTTAGAGGCAAAAAGATCCAGCATTTAACATGAAAAAAGAACAGATTAGAAACAAGTGTAATGTGTATCTTGCAACCCCTCAGGTTCATGTGGTCACCCTGAGTGTGCAGATTGGGCACCAAACAATAGAGTCCCTCCAACTGTGTGGCAACAGTCTCCTGTTTGAACAGGATAGTGCCCCTGTGCACAAAGTGAAATCCTTAAAAAAAGCAACCGTTTTTTGTTTGGTGTGGGAGAATTTGACTGCTCAGTCACACCCCAACACCTCTAGGTTGAACTGGAACATCAGTGTTGGACCAGTATCAAATCTAATTGCAGAGTGATAGACTGATCCAAGGGAGTTTGGAGTTGAAGCAAAGGAATGGTGTAGTTCAATACAGGTAAAAATGTTGAAAGCCATATAAACATAAAGGTTTGAGTTTAAGAGATGCAGTCGCAGTCTGCAATTTAAAGGCTAGTTTCTCACCCTGCCAAATACCAAGGTATTTGTATGTGTGAGCTTTGTAAGATTAGGTCATTTTGATCTTTTTATAACATTATATACTTGGTTTTACAAGAATTTTGTGCTTTAAAAGGTCATGTTTGGAATATGCCCATGGTTTGGAAATAAGATGTCCAAGAGTCCAAACACATGGGTGTCATGTATGTTTGTTAATTATGCATATATCCATCAAAAGCTGCTGAAATCATTTGAAATTTAACTCACATGTGTAGGGTGGCAATGTCAGTCAGCAGGCCAAATTTCAGCCAAATCTGATCTGGATTCTGGATCTGAAAGCCATTGAAAGTCACCACTGAAAACCCAATTTAACGCATATTTTCTGCTATAATTCAGCTTATAATTAAGACAGAACCCTGAAATGTTCCAGTAAGATGCACAGTATAACTGCCTATCGTACCCTAAAAGATGATCTGGATATGATCCAGGTCAAGGATTTTAGGATACATTATGTGTTGTTCTGGATCTCATCAATGTTGTGCCTTGGCAGAGGTACATGCACTCGCTGAGTGCTGTTGTTGTTATCTATCTATCTATCTATCTATCTATCTATCTATCTGATTTTCTGTCTGTCTCTCTGTCTGTACTAACAAACATTTTTCTCTGTCAGTAGTTAAATGTTCAGATCTCTCGTTGCTATAACCACCACTCATACCTGATGATTCATCACTGACGTGGTATCAGGGACTGACTGACTGCCAGCCTGCCTGCTGAATCATATTCTCCCTTTCACACGCACTGAAACACACATTCACACTTCCCTGTCTCCTGACTCGCTTTAGTTAGTGTCTGAAATAAGAGCACAGCTGCTGTACTTTGCTTTGTTCACTCGTCAGATCTTTGCAGGCTACATCTTCATGAGCTGAGTTGTGTTTAGTTTAGACCACTGTGTCAGCTCTCTGTGGTGGATCACAGAATGAGAGTTTAGACACTGAACTGTTTAAAAAGGCTGTGCTTGTTGCTAATTAACATCCTACTGTGTCATCCTCATGCTAATCCTCATATATGGTATACTCCTAGCCTTATCAGACAGGTTCTACTGTGAACTGACACATATGTTAGGTTATTTCCTAGTTAGATAGATATTCAGAGATTTGTTGTATTAGAAATGTTAGTGGAGACAGATTGACTAGCTCAGGCTGTTAACTGTTCAGTAATGTACTTGCAGTGCAGACTGCAGGCAGGTCAAGGTTACAGGCAAAGAGCTGTTAGTGTCAACTGTAATGCTAGTCTTAATATTTGTCTTAATGTGTAAGGTTATGTCCAATTGTTTTAGATACACACCACGAAAACAACAGCCACACACCTTGACTTTTCCTCATGTTTTGGCTAACGTTATAGCCAGCTGCAAAGCTGAGAGACGTCTCGGTTGACGTTTCGGTGGAGGAGGGGGCGAGCCAACTAAGTGATGATATTGTATAGCAATTCTGGGTTCGGGGTCTTTGCTGCTTCCGGGCTGCTTGGGCAGCCTGGGGGTGGGAAGATCTCTGGACTTGTAATGTTAATTCTTGCCTGTGACTCTTTGAATAAACCAGCACGGTTATATTTTTTATATATCCAAGTGGTCTGAGTCGTCCCTCTGAGTTCCTGGTTTGAAAGAACCGGACGAGGCTTTATAATAGAATAGAGCCTTTACATAGTACAACCTGTTTGTAGTCCAACAAGAACTTAGTTTGCATGCTTGGAAAAGCAGTGTATGTACTTGCTATTTACCAGGGACCTCTGTTGAATAATTGCACAATAAATTGCTGCAGCTTACATGATCATTCTGTGCTTTCTAATAACTTGGATTTTCCTTGTGTGGCTCCAGGAGATGAAGGCAGACTTCTGGTCATGGTTTATTACTCTCTTAGTAAACTGCAGCTGTCTTTCTGCTCTTATCTCTTCCCTCCTTTCCTCATATCTCCCTTGGCCTGCCTCTGGTCCTCCCTTCCCACCTCTCAGGGTCTTTGCTCTGCCGACCCCACCCTCGCTTTTGGTCTGAGCTCTGCTGAATGAAAGCAGTGGCTGCCAAGTTGAAGTAGCTGTTACCTGAACTGGAGGGAGTTGGTGTGAGAACTAGAGGATGCCAGATGTCTCTATACTGGGTGACATGCCACAATGATGATGAAGGAGGAGGGAGAATCTGCCCTCCTGACCCCTAAGCAGCATCCCAGACAAAACAGGCTTATTTCTTAGGTTTAACACTCCTCTTTTAAGCTATAATCAATATAATTATTTGCTATTATCAATAATGTGCAATGGATGGCTTTAAGATGTAAATATTTGTCTGAGTGTGTACATCTGTATCAGGTAATTTGACAAAAAAGTTGCCAAAAATGGGTTATTTCTGTCCAACCCGTGGATTAAAAATACTAACCAGCCATATAACCTATTTTATATGATGGCTAGTGGTTCAAAAGTGAATAAGGTGGTAAAAGTCACTGCAATTTAAAAAGAAAAAGAGG